AAATTATATTACTACAGACTTGATCAGCAAAATTCCTCAATAGTACTGTATTATTATAGACAGAAAAATAATCTTTAAAAGTTGAAACAAATTACATAATCAAGGAGTAAGCCATAATTGGTAGGCTTTAGCTTTACCATACTAGTAAGACTTTCCCTGGCAATAGAGTGCTCATCTAAGCAAAGCAAATTAATTTCCCTCATCACCACTGGGGACAGCCACCTGCTCCAAAAGAACTAAATGGACCTCTGGACTCCCTTCAAGTGTCAATTTATCTAATTAAGTGAGCACTTTACCTCTACATAATGCTTTATTTGCCTAGAAGCATCACAGTATTAGAGTCTAAATATTTCTAATGTTATATTTTGAGTATTTTAGGATAACCATTCCTGAAGTAATTTCCACAAAAGGAGTTCAATTCTTTACTGTCAAAATAGTTTGTGAAAATGACAAAGGTAGTCATGGATTTTAGTTCCAAATTGGCTCTTGTAACCTTATTATAAAGTTTTTATTTTTCTGTTAGCTCCTTAGAGAAAAATAAGACTATCTATGGGGTTTCACCTCTCTTGCAAGATCATAAATAAATGTAATAAACTTGTATGTGCAAATATTCTAGCAGTTATCAAAATGAAGAGGTTATCTGACACTTTTAATTATACAGAGATATATATATCTAGGAACACATACAAGTCATCAATAATCACTGAAAGTAGATCTTAGCTCTTGCACACTAACATTAACTTTGCTATAGATTCCCCAGTCAGTGCTTTACCTATTCTTCTAAATATTAATTATAATTACATACAAATAAGGATTATGAAAAATTATCTGTGTGCTAATCGTAAGCAAGTCTGATGTTGAATTTAACATAGCAACTTGAGGCATTTCACAGAAACATGAAGAAGAGAAACAACTAATTCACTGATAAGAAATTGGGGGTTCTGATTTGAAGCTAGAGGAAGCAGGCCTTGTAGTAGCATCCAGTCATGCACGGCCATGCATGGGGGGCCCCGCTGGCAGGGGTGTGGCATGGCAAGCACAGTGAAGCGCACCTCAGCCAGGAGCTTGGTCCTTTCTGTGACGCCACCGTTTCCCTGCTGGTATCGTTCTCTTGCCTGAGAGGGAAAACATTTTGTTTAATGACAAATCCAAAACAGAAGCAGACTATTTAAATATGACCTTTTTGTGTTTGCAATTTCTATATATCATTTTATGAGATCCCCCTTCCTTGTATGTGAATACATTTGTGAAAGTGACATTTAACTATAACTATTTTACCCTTGTAGTAGGCATCATGTATTTAACTAAAGTACTATAGAATGACACAATAGCTTAACTTTCACATGCTGCCTGCATACTCTCATGGGCATAGTTCACAAAAATGACTGTCGCCAGCTATGCCTAAATAGTTTAAGAGAGTGGTTGTTGGTCAACTTAATTTGCATGCTACAGAAAGAAAATTAGTTCTGGAAACTCAACTGAAGTAGAGCATTAAACAAAGCAATTAGGATTAACAAAGAATATCACAGTACAACCAACTAGAATACTAATCTAATAATCTAGTGTTTAATAATAATAATAATTAGTGTATAATAATAATCTAATAATCTAGTGTTAATGTTAGATACAGTATGGCTTTATTCAGAGAATTTTACATCATTTTAAAAGTAAAAATATTCATGATTAAACGTGTATATGAGAGAATAATAAATGAAACAGATAATGGAAAAGTAAAAGCTACTTTCTATCTGGGCTTTGAGAACTTCTATGAGTACAGAAACACCTTAAATTAATTTCCACTTTTTTCTCCTAATTTTGTTTGCAAAAAAAGATACATAGCTTCTACTGACATCTGGAAATATTCTGAGCTAGTTTTCCTTCCCATCAGGACATAGGTAGCCACAACTCTTAAGGAAGCCCTTAGATCCCTGCTGTTGGGCAAGGAACTGCTGGTTTCTAGGGCCAGTAGTGGATGTTGTTCAAATTCTAGCTCAGTAGAATAAGCGCTTGCCTGGCAAGCACACAGGCCTGAGCTCAATCCCCAGTTCTGCCAAAAAACAAACAACAACAACAACAGAAAACAACTTTGAAAGAATGAAAAAGTCGTCTCATTTCATAAATCAAACTGCCTGTTCCTGAACCTGTCTCACTTCTTACTTTTGTTCTGTTCGTTCTGTGGTCACGAGCCACAGTGGCGAGCACTGTCATTTCCTTTGACACATGTAAGTGCACTTTCTTGCTCCTACTCGTATAGCACGTTAATACTCAGACTTTGAAAACAAGGCGTCCTGATGATCTTGTCCCACTCTAAGTTGCGTTCTCCAACAACTTATACTTTATTTATTTACATCACAGATGCCTAAAGGCTGCTTTCTACTACACAGAAAATGGGGCAAGCCCTGTGGTTGCACTTGATTTCCTCGGTGGGGTAGAGAGTCAATGAGTGGCTGTCTGTCAAAAGCATTTCATGGCTCTCAAATTGTTTCAGGTCTAGGGATGAGGGCTGGACCCTGGACACCACCGCACAGTACCTCGCTCAGCTGCGCTTGTGCTGCACGGTGCTCTTGAACCAAGTGCTCAAGCTGATTGTTGATGTACTTTTCTCGGCTGCCAATCTTCTCCAAAGTTCTACTAATTTCATTATGGAGTTTGTCCAAAAACCCCTAGAAATTCCATGGGTTTTAGTAGGTAACTACATTTTTCAATAATAGTTAAAAATTAGTCAAATATTTTTCAATCCCTCCCAGAAATGATTAGCCATGTGAACAAGAAGACAATGTGAAATTTCACTAACAAAAAGTTTATGATGAGGGGCTGGGAAGAGATGGCTCAGTGGATAAGCACTTCCCTGGCAAGCACAAAGCCTGAGTTTAATCCCTAGTTCCACCAAAAAAAAAAAAAAAAAAAAAAAAAGTTTATGATGAGAAATATTTTAATCCTACTTTGCAGAACAAGACCTGATAGGTTAGTCAGCTCATGTGTCTTTATGCATCTTTATAATTTATGAGACTATAATTAGCTTTACAAAATTTCTAAATCAAAGTAGGTAAGGGAATAAAATGACTTTCTCAAAATTCAAGATAAATGCAGTAGTCCTGTTACAAGTAGCTCCTCAGGCCGGGAGGCATAGCCTGAGGTCAGTATCCTCTCACTCAGGCTTTGCCTTTTGTAGCACCACTTCCGGCAAGGCAGCAAGTCGGGGGAAGTTGCAAGTCCTAGGCATTGTTGGCCTGGTGCTCTCACATACTTTTCATTCGGGCAAGTGATGAAATGTTTCTAAAATCTCGATTAGGTATACATGCACAACATATATTTTAAAAAGAGTGATTTAGCACTCTTTAGTAGTGGGCTTTAGTAGGGTGGGCTGTGAAATGTAATATGGTCTACTCAAGAGGCTCCTGAAAGAAAAGGACTGTGGCATGCTTTCCTCTACTCTCCCATAACCGGTGTTCCATTGGTGTGCATATCCATTCACATACCTTGGTCTCCTTTAGAGCAGATTCAATTCCACTTTTGTGCTGGTGCATTTGGTCAACATGGATTCTCCAATCCTGGTGGAGCACACACAGGAACAAAGTAAAAATACTACGATTCCTTCTTTCCTCAATTTCTTGTGTCTTTTATCTACTGCTTTGGTTGCTCTTCTATTTCAGGTGGTAGAGTCCTACATATAGCTTGTGATCAGATTACAAAGAAGTATGTGTACAGCACTTTAGGATAAAATGTTCTAAATAAATGTAAATTATTTTATGTGTTCATGGAGTGATGTGTGATAATTTGAATATAAATTATTCCTGCTTTGCTGGTCGTTAATATTTATGACTTATCAAAATTAAAAACATTTCTAATTGCTAGAAAGAAATACTTGTTTGAGCAGTATCAATTATGTTTGCCAGAAGCAACTTTCAACTCTCTACTCTTCACTCAAATATCATGTTAAAGATTCATTTTTCTCTTGGAAATTAAAATAGAGCTCTCTTCTTCAAAAAGACTTTTAAGTCTTTTCTTTAAAAAAGGAAAGCTGTAAGATTTCATATACTCCGAAATATCTGTCTACCATAACTAGATTGACTTGAAATCTGTTAGCAACATTTTATTTCTCTGGAAGATATCTTTAAATTTGTAGTCATTTGTATGTAGCTATAAGAAAAAATTTTAAAGACATATCCATAATAAAAGAAAAATATGGTAGATCAATAAGCAACTGAAGTACAATACTTTTCAGTTCCAACGTCTGTTTGCATACTTCGATGCCTCACCTTGCTATCTACACTAATTTAGGAAGAGGAAAACATTTGTGAATAGTTCCATTCTATCTTAATAGTTTTCTTTGAAACAGTGATTACAAGACAAAATATTCTTGACATTTCAAATATAATAATTGCAAAATTATAATATACTGAAGCTGCAAAGAATGTAAAAAACATA